CACTGGCTTTCTTCAGTAAATTTCTAACTAATATTAACAAATAATGTAAAGGAATATTATGGAATTATTATTATTTAGTGTTCTGTCTGACGACAGGTCCATATGAACAGGATCCTTCCATCCTTTTCTCGGACTGGGACCTGTTCATATACGTTCTTGGCAGATGATCCAGAAGTGGTTTGCCATTGCCTTCTTCTGTGTGTGAATGGAGTAATTTTAGGGATGGCACGGAGAAACCGGGGAAGCCCCCCGGAGGAAAACTCCGTGTTGCCTAGACCACGGCCTCGCCCAACACAAGTTATAAATTCGGGCACCGCCGGGAATCGAACCCGAGACCCCCCAGGATTACAAGACCAGCGTTCTAACCGCTAGACCACCGTGGCTTTTATTCTGGAACTATGAGAGAGGAAATATCGGGAGGACAGATAAAATTACATACTAAGGAATTCCATCAATGTTGCTCTTCATTGGTCTGACGGCGGGCAAAATCTGTATTTAGTTTCAGATTCCGTAGCGATAACTAATAATCCATTGAAGATGGGCGTGTGGAATTTGATATGGATGTAGACGATACGCACAGCTCCCAAGTTCGGAACAACCACTTTCTTTTTATGTATTAATAATTAAATCTATGGCGATGGTACAAAACTATGTGACTTTACGTAGTCAGTAATAGATATTATGCATAAATATTCAAACTACACAACAATTAGACTTGTACTGTAGTTTCTTTTTAGCCTCATCATATATACCAAAGAATGTGGATGAAAAAGAGTTATAATTCGATCTCAAAATTTATAGGTGATTGACATTTCATGACTTAATTTTAACCATAATGAGAACATCACGTAGGCAAAGTTAAATATGTAACATGAATATAAGGTGAGGTTCTCTATTATATTCTTTCAGGTTGAGTCTTATTTAATAAATAGCTTAAGTTTCTACGCCTAACATTTAACTCAGAAACACTTAGTACGAATGACAGCAGACATATGACACTGTTAAACATTACAAGCCGAAGCTCGTAAAAATTACATTAAAGAATTCAGTACGAACCTCAGAGAAAACACTTGAAAGTGATTATTTCACTGAACAACTTTTACTACCATCAAGTGGTAAATGTTCTTCAATGAAATAACCACTGTTAACACTGAGACTCGACGAAATCGTAAACATAAAATGGAGAATTACTTATTTTAAAGCAAGCGGAATTACAGTTATCGCAGGTCTTTAAAATGGTTAATGGTAATCACCCTATAAGTGTGTGTGGGCTTATGGAATTATTTATTATCTGATGCAGTGCAATGGACTCCTGCAACGTGCGTTGGTGACATGTGATATGAGTGTGATATTTATAACACCCAGCTCTGTTGTTTATCAAAATCAAATAACTACACAGACCTATGACTTCATCTCCACGTTTCACGTTTAAGGTCGTCTGGCATATTGAGATTCAGAATTAATTTTGAAAATATAAGCAGTTTGACGTCTGGTAGTCGCCTTGGATAATGATCAGTCCATCACAAGGTTACTATTACAGAGAACGTCACAACGCAGAACAAGGCAGACATTCAATTCTGAACCTTGCGAGATTCCTGTCTACCGCGAACCCACTGTCTGAGCCGCCCAGATTATGATCTGCAAAGTAATTACTTAACCCTTTGAAGCACATTTTAAAAACATTTAAAAATTAATTTCCTGTCTCGAATAAAACACCATTACAAAGATCAATTACTCGAAGTTGTTAATAGCTATTTATTCGGAGAATACTACAAATCCATAGCACACATAGTTAGCACAATGCTTTAAATTATTAAATAAATTAACATCACAGGAGATGCATAGCAGATATACTGTAGGAAATTATAGACTATATTCGATATACAACACTCGAAGTACATTTTCCAGCGAGATGGTGTAACTGACTGATCACGAGCATAAGTTCTGCTAGGAGATGCCCGATTCGAATTTATGCCGGGTATCTTATCTGAGGTTATTCATGGTTATCCTCAGTCCCTACGTTGACAGGCCACGGCCGATTTCTCCTCATTTATTTCAAGCTCGGCGAACGCGATCACCCTTTCATATCATCGACGTTAAGTAACTTAACAAAAGCCTACTGAACAAAGGGATTCTGTATTAAACGTCGGGTGTGGGGAAAAATTTGATTCACAAGAACACGTTACGTCACAAAAGTAAATCGCTGAATACTCGTTATAAAAAGGACCAAGTGCAAATCGAGTTGCGTAGCAACAGAACAAAATTTTCCATGCAGTAACATCGCATAAATGTTTTAGTGTCGTCTCCCGAGAAATTATGTCCGAAGAGAAATGACCCGTTTACCGTTAACATCTCAGACTTGTGTGTTGCACTAACAGTGCGTTACGAATTTTGAACAATAATTTTTGTCGTTAAGCGTTCACCATGAGATGAAAAGAAGAAAAAGGTTTCCAGCCTCTTTTGGAACCTGAACCTAGTTCACAAGATCCCACCACTGTTGTCTGCCCTGATCGAGACGAATCCTATCCATACCCTCACACAGGATCTTTATACGATCAATTTTAACCTCCCATTAAAAAATTCGTGTACTCATTCAATTACACCTTACCACTCTTCATGATTACTGGTAAAGTTGAGAACAAATGCAGTGATTATTAGAAAATATTTTCTGATGTATTTTTCGACGCCTTCAGTAGCTCAGACTATACAGCGTCTAATGAGTATGAATAATGAATTGTAAAGGATATAGAAGGAAGCTATCGTGACCTAATTTCAGGCACTGTCCTGAAATTTGCCTGGAGAAACTGACAGTATCTTATTTTCCAAGCCCCTGTCGTAAACGTCAGTGAAGTTTAGCATGATGATAATAGTGAACATGCAAGCACCGTTAGCTACACGTCACCAATACCAACTAAATTATATACTAGTTAAAATTAAGCGCAGATGAATTGGCAGGTAATGGTTAGTTATAGATCTAGTGGAGTATCAATAATAAATCCTACATTCAACGCAACCACGCCATGATTGTAAGAACCTATACACGCAACAGACAAGAAAATTAAGTCTGCAGCCCTAACAGACGAGGAAAGTGAGTTTAAATTAATACAATACCAAGGAAAGCAAGTCAGACACACATAACAAACGAAATTCACTGTAGATACAGAAAACAGACAGAAAGTGAGCACATATAGAAACCACAAACAAGGAAAAGCCATCCTGAAGCACTAACACCACTCTTAACCCTTTGAAGCCCAATGGTAACTGTACGTACCACCTGCTTCAACAATCGATAGCTCTTCAATTTGTATTTATGGGTTTCGTATGTGAACAGCGACTATTCCCTTAAACACCATAAACCAGTTAATCGTTGCAATGGTAAAGTGTGGTGCTTTCTTTGCGGTACGAACTGAATTCTTAAACATTATTTAGACGAACTTACTCCTTCCACTTTCTCTTCTATCTCTCTCTCTTTCGGGTTCAAAGAGTTAATGGATGCTATGGATGATGAGGTGGTGAGTAAAAATATACAAGCTTGAGGAGAAATCTGTCGCCCATTCGATTTAGGTATAACGTGATGCAAACACCAAAGCCACTGCAGCTGACGCCCCAGACTCTGTCCCGATGTACTCAAAACTTGTTTCTAGAATCTACATTTACGAAGTATCCGGTTAAACCCACGAAAAGGAGTTTTCTTACTCGCGTTAATGTTCACAGGAATGGACATCGGACTTCATCCCCAATCAGTTAAATTAAAACCAAACTTCGAAGATCCGATTTCTACACAGACGCATATATAACAATGTATTTTTCTAACTTTTTCACGAATCTGTTGAATACATTTAACCAAATGCGTGCTACATGCCCGTCCCATTCTTTTTGATTCATAAACCATAAAATATTTGTGAAGGGTACAAATTATGGCATTCATCACTGCTTGTCTCCAGTCTTTTGTTACTCAACTTCTATTAGGTCATCACTTTACTTCGAACAAGCACTGTGCTCAATTACTTGTGGGAATTGTTATCATCAAGGAAAACGAATTCATATCCCACGTTATAGCCTTTATTAAGAGCATCGTTATTACAAGAAATATGTTTCTCAGAGTAATTTCATCAATTTGTTTCACGAACTGTAGAATGTTGTGTGACAGATCAGCAGAAACCCGCAAGAAACCGCGTATATCTGAAAGGATGTGGAAAGAGGTGGTCACGACCTACTTGACTGTACTGCAAGTATCAGTCGACAAATAGATCTGTATTGTCTCTTTCTCGGACCATGCAATGACCCTCCAAGTACTTAAGTCTAATGGCTTATTATGACCAATGACGAGTAATCAAGTTGCCGCGGTATATTTAAAAAAAATACTAATCCAAAAGACATCGAAACACCCCAATAATTAAAGATTGCCTTCGTGCCTAATACTAAGAAGTGCTAACCATTTTGTCATTCAGTTCGGAGACCATTCTCCTGACACGCTATCTGAAATACGATATAAGTAAACTATGACAGAGACGATATTTCAAACTGAACTGTGTTATTTTTCAGTAGTAATGGAGGGACGTCGCTGGTGGGTAGTGAACTAGAAACGTTATCCTGGTCGAGCGAAGAACAGGTCCAACCACGTCACTTTATATGGTCTACATACAAGCATATAAAATACCAGACTATTTTTCAAAGGGTCTGAACTATGAAGGTTTCTTAGCAGGGAGTTGGCAGTTTCTCTTCGCCATTATCACCAGAAGTGAGTGGGAAGTTTCAAGTTTCAAGTACCACTTTATCCCTGGGAAATAGCTCATAGTATCAAACACCGAAAGAACGGGCGTGCCACAGCAATGGTCCGGAGAAAATCATCTGCCCTTGCCTGGAATCGAACTACGATCGCCAGCCCATAGACAATTATTTCACTCATATTTCTGGACTGTGTTGTGATTATTATTATTTTTTAAATTATTATTTTGTGACTCCTGCTTGCAAAACACATATTAAGGATCTCATAGAAGCGAAGACGTCCATTGTCCATTGCATTGCTATTATCAGGTTTCATCGATCCTGTGTTGGGGAGCTACGAGAGAGAAAAAAAGTCTACTGCAATAACTGTAATAACAGAGCAATAGTCTATCCAGAGGTGAGGAGGGGGGAAATGAAAAGCCAAATCTCCAAGTGCTTCCTGCAAAAATGGTCTTTAATTAATGACGTCACACGTGCCTCCACTGCGCTACGACTGTTGGATTTTCCCTTCTCACTGCAGTACGCGCGTCGCTTGCGAGTCGTACACACGTATTGTTCTAGCGTTCTCGGCACTTACTGCGTATTAATATCAATGAAATTGAATCAGTGCTTGTCGTGAGCCTGCAAGGACACTTTCCGTTGCCATTTTCACCAATCCGGATGTTTTGTTCTGTTATCAGGTAGGCGCTCCATGAGAGCTGCGAAATAATTGCAGTGCTGTTACAATTGGCGATGAAAACTGTTTAGGTTTGTATATCGAAGCTGAATTAGTGTTTCTATTTAATTATACCGTAAGTAGTCAATTTTATATTACCAGTTATATTAACCATTTAAAGATCAGAGGTAACTATATGTACCACCTGCTATAGCAGTAGTAAATCTGCATTTTGTATTTATGTGTTTTGAATAAGTCTCAGAATAAACAGCAAGGATTTCCTTTACTAGTTGATCTTTGTAATGGTGAACTGTTGTATTTTCTTTGCGGTACGGACTGAATTTTTTAATATTATTTAGACGAGCTTTGGCTTCAGAGGTTTAATAACTTATCACTACAGTGAACAGCGTGCGTAATTATTATAAGGGCTTCTGTGTGGAATAAATTGAATACGATATGCATTTTAAGGGGGAATGTGAACATGTGTTTTATCGTGACAGTGAACGTGATTTCAGTGTTACTGTAAAGTTTCTTGAAAATGAGCGATTTTGTTAGTTCTAATTAGGCAACAGAACGGAGAGAATCTTTTTTGCCGTCATTTAAACTCAATTTTCTATATATTTAGTATTTTAGTATGGAAGAATGTTGTTTTTTGAACGTTGGCCACTTTATGGATAACATAAACACATACGACGTTTCGGAAGCATGTTGGAATTTCCAGGTTTAGAAGGGGACATTTTAGGTAAAGCTTATATTACCTTCATTAGTGGTGACCTAACATATGCAGGACACTGCAAAACATACAGTTCAGTAACAAGACTGCGTGAAAATATCGTCAAATGTTATGATTAACATAAACCACAAGCTTAAGAACCAGCTTCGAAGGATTTCATAATTAGACTGTATTTCTGCCCTGTTGTATGCCGTTTTAACACAATGCTGATTACTAGAATCCCCATATTCGGTTTAATCGACAGCTACAAATTGCGGGCAAACCTCTTTTTGTGTGCCTGCACAATTGTTATTAAAAAGGCAGTTTTGGTTGAAAAGACAGTACAAACGGAAAATTGCCTGTGAGCTTAATTAAAGCATCATGCCATGACATTGATTTTTGATGGAGGTGAGTGGTTATTTGTCTCATAAGCCCCCTGTGCACACTGACAAGGAGGCTATCTGGGCCCCAAAATCCGTACCATGCCGGGAATCAAACACGGTCTGCTAGCTAGCCACTGTACTGACTGAGGTATTCCGCCTACCCGTTGTATGGTATAGTAATTTATATTGTGATATTTTTCTCTTAGGGAAAGTATCTAGTGTTGAACGTCTTGAATTGTCTTTGTCTGCTAAAGTGGTATGCCTTGACAATCTCTAGAGGTTTCAGACAGACGACGTAGACGGCTGTACATTACCTTCCACTGCCATTTAACTCATTATCCTGATAAAAGTTTGAAAGGAAGGAATCTCACTCAGGCTGTTGATGTAAATCGAACTGGAATGGTATTAAACAATTCTCTATCAAGTACAGAAGACATTTATTGTTACTACTGGAAGGACGTGGGAGTGTCATTTACTATTTATTTCTTGTGAATCAGTATTCGTCCCCAAAAGTTAAAGAAAACTATACAACCTCGGTAGAAATGCGAACCGGTGTCCCACGAATGCCAGACACCGTTACCGCTGAGCTAATCCAGCTCGGTGCTAACGTGAAGCAATAATACGCCAAGCCAAGAATGCCGACACGCCGTTTCCCAAGATCGGGTCACCCAACCAACAAGAAAGTTTATCATTTGCACCTCAAAGGACCTGATTTCGTAATTGTCGCTTTGGAATGAAACCGCGTAAACACGTCGAAATCTTCATCGCGGAGCGTGACCCGTAGAGCGGCGAGTCTAGCTGCGAAAAGCCTGGAGGTGAACGAAGAAGAAACGTTTTCTTGGATCGACTTGCCGCTTTTCTAGGCCAGTAGAGCTTTGATTGCATTATTGGCCGGTGGTGCTGATTTTGCCACCCGCCCGAATCAGTATTTTAGACAACGACCGCGCATAAACAAGGCCGCAAAGAATTAAAATTTGTTGGTTTCCTCCTCCTTCAATTCAACGTTTTCCTAGCTGATGGAATTTGATTATTGGAAGCCTCTATTGATATTTTCCGCCCATGGAAAACAGTATTTTTGTACGATGGCCGAACAGTACGTGGGAGATGAAGGAAACATAGTTAATTACGCTTTCTTCAGTCAATGCGACGTTTTTCTTCAGACAGCATCATATTCTTGGCCGGTCCTGTCTAATACTTTCATGCCAAGTAAAACGTTTATTGAAGCATTGCTCCGTGATGCCGCGTTCTTGCATTTCACGACGCTATGTAAAATGCGAGTACAGATGCTTCGTTTCCCTTTGCCCTCTTATGCACATGCCCTTAGCTAAAAATATCTTAATTGAGTTTAGGTTGCATATAATTGTAAAAATTAATCACTATTTTGTACATAATCTGCAATTATGAAATAAATCTGCATAACCTGCAGCAGACGATCAACTTACGCAAGTCGAGAGGTCATTCAGTCAAGATGTTGAGAACCGATTTAAGACAGCCAAGACAAGGGAAAGGCAGGCGGGCGCGGGCTCAAAAGAGGGATCAACTGTCCAATTTATTAATACATTTGTTTACATTCACCATCAACAACCATAATTTATGGTGCAGTGCGCTTCAGCTACAATGCAATCATGTCGTGATTTCAATTTAAAAAGTGTCGTAATAGTTCAGTAATTGACAGTTATAGTGAAGTCACTCTTATAAACCTATTAGGAAACATTTTAAATTGAATATTAACATAACATGAATCTGAATACAGTTGGAATGTAGCTGGAACACGTAGTGTGGGGAAGTGTAATAATTGTCGTTGAGGATGGTGAATGTACGAGGTGCGATCGGAAAGTTTCAAGACTGTGTCAATAGAGGGCGAACCGGATGTAGTACGAGCTTCTGTGAATCAGTGTGCCAGCCGGCATCATCGAATTAGCATTTGTTTCTTAGTTACGGGCGTTTTGGTAGTGCATTACACCGACCCTCCTGCGATTTCGGAATGGCGTGTGCATCAAATTTTTCCAAAGACTCGCCAAAACAGCTACGGAAACCTATGAAATGCTAAAGCAAGCATTTGGGGAGTCCGCAATGGGTCGTGCACAAACGTTTGTGTGGCATTCACGTTTTAAAAATGGCCGAACCTCTGTCGATGATGACGAGCGTTCTGGACGACCATCTTCGAGCACAACGCCCGAAAATGTTACGAAGATCGACGTCGTACCATCAACGACTTGTGCGACATTGTTGGGATAGGCTAGGGGACCTGTCAGCTGATTCTAAAGGAAGAACTCCACATGCGACGCATCAAGACAACGCGCCAGCGCACACCGCCCCCAAAGTCGGCCTCAAACACCATGGCCGTCATCCCGCAACCTCCTTAGCTCCGTGTGACTTCTTCCTCTTCCCAAAGATGACAATTCAGCTAAAGAGAAGGATATTTGAGACGATAGAAGAGATTCAGGCAGAATCGCAGATGGTGCTTGACAGGCTGACAAAGAAAGATTTCCAGGGATGCTTCCAGACTTGGCAGCGGCGCTGGGATCGTTGTGTTCACTCCCAGGGGAACTACTTCGAGGGTGATGGATGAATTTAATACCTGAGATAAGTGTACGGGTTTTTATAGGCGCAGTCTGTAAACTTTCCGATCGCACCTCGTAAATAAAATATGATTTAACAGAGCAAACAAATTTCACGATGTTAATGTTCATTTCGTACATACAGTATCTTGGTATCTTGATTTTCAATTTGTGCGTGAATATTTTTAATTGTAAAATGTATACTTCTATGTGTTCATAAGCAGCCAAGCCTTGTAGGAGAATCTCAGTACTGGATTCAGGTGAGTGATCAGCTTCAAGCCCTTGAACCCCTGGGAAAAAAACTTATCTGCCCATGAACAGAAGACTGGATGGATCCGAGAGTCGGTCTCGATGTAGCGGAAAATATAAAATTCCCTGTATGTCCTGTGGTAAGAAACACGTTGTCCATTACGCAAAAAATCTTATTGCTGACTGAGCTATATCGATTCGCGTTTTCAAGTTCCATGGTCCAACTGCTTTTGGGTAGAAACATTCTTAGTTCTGGAACCACTGTTACAAACAAAGAAAGGTTTAAGAATAATCGGTCTAATGTGCAAATAAACGATTTTCAGCCGTACTGTGTTATTTTATAAGGACAGGTAGGCTGTGTTTATCAGAATGCCTGTGTGTGTGTGTGTGTGTGTGTGTCAAAACCGTTTCCCCTAAAATTTCTGATCAGATCCAGGGGAATGAGACAGGCATGGCATGTAGCACGAATAAGACGAGAAATGCATCACAATTTTTTCGTGAAACCTGAAAGTACGAGGCTACTTAAGAGAAGTAATTGTGGGATGATATTAAAATGGATCTTAAAGAACTGTGGGCGTTGTGATTCACCTGTGTCAGGACAGAGTCCAGTGGCATGCAATTGTGAACACGGTAATGGACCTGGCGTTTCAAGAAAACTCTCCTCCAATGGAATTGCACAAAGAGGTACATTTATAGATAAGATATGATTGTTATTCCCACTTTCTTCCATATAAACAAGATATTTTGTGGAAGTCAGATGCATCATGTAGTCTTTTATCACTTGTTTCACACAGAAGTGTTCTTCAATACTTATTCAAGACTGTAAGTGGCTATGGGATTAAATAATACTTCCTGCGAACAAGGCCACGAGGCGTAAAAATGAGATGAACTTAGTTGTAGCTTCATGCATGTAAATAATGGAAGGGCAAGTGAGGCCATCTGTACAGTGGAACATCATGCGTAATACATGCAAATGAGCTGGAAGCTTGTATTATGTACGGGGTTCTATCTTCGATATTTTAAACGTAGGCGTCTTCCTCTGTTCGTCATAAATTTAATACACAAAATTACCAAAGTCATGTTCCACAAATGCAATACATTTTTGTTTCGGGAGGGGGGAGGTATTTAACGAACTTTCTCGTTATGTTTTAAATATTAATCTACTTTTTCTGTAGCTGTATATAAAGAATTTTTGCCAGAATGAAAACTACGCCAAGCTGTTTTATATGGA